AGAATCAACCTAGTGAATCTCCCCTCCAGCGCCAGTCCATCCTTTCTCAAGTAAGGAGACCAAAACTGTACACAGTACTCCAGGTGTGGCCCTACCAGCAGCCAACACAGCTGCAGCGTAACCTCCCTGTTTTTAAACTCCATCCCTCTAGCAATGAAGGACAAGATTCCATTTGTTACCTTAATTACCTGTTGTACCTGCAAACCAACCTTCTGTGATTCATGCACAAGAACACCCAGGTCCCTCTGCACAGCAATTTTTTACCTTTCGAATAATAGTCCCTTTGACTGTTATTCCTACCGAATGGATGACTTCACATTTATCAACATTGTACTCCATCTGCCAGATCTTTGCCCACTCACTTAACCTTTTTTTTAAAATTTAAATTCATTCACGGGATGAGGGTATTGTTGGCTAGGCAGCATTTATTGCCCATCCCTAATTGCCCAAAAGGCAGTTCAGAGTCAACCACAGTTCTGAGGGTCTGCAGGCCAGGCCAGGCAGTTTCCGTCCCTAAAGGACATTCGTGAACCAGATGGGTTTTCCAACAATCAAAATGGATTCACAGTCATTATTTGGACTCTTAATTCCAGATATTTATGGAATTCAATCCCACCATCTGCCATGGTGGGATTTGAACCTGGGTCTCTAGAATGTTATCTGGGTCTCTGTATTAACAATATACTGACAATACCACTAGGCCATTGCCTCTATATTCATCTGCAAACTTTCCAGAGTCTTCTGCACACTTTGCTCCACCACTCATCTTAGTGTCATCCACAAACTTTTACATACTACACATGGTCCCCAACTCCAAATCATCCACAAATTGTAAACAATTGCAGTCCCAACAATGATCCCTAAGGCACACCACTAGCCACTGATTGCTTTTCTGGTTGGCAGTCATTTATTCCCACTCTCTGCTTTGTGTTCGTTAACTCAAACCTCTACCCAACCTAAGGGCTGAAGGGATTTTTCAAACATTCCTTCGATCCTGGTTTCTTCTTTCTGTTTTACATTAGACTTAGGAGCATTAGTAGGCCATTTTTCACTCAGTAAGATCATCAATCTAGTTATGGTCACAACGCATCTGATGCCCCATGACTCCCACATTAACCATGAATCAATTGATCTATACCTTAAATATATTCAATGACCTTCCACTGATCCCTGAGGAAGACAGCTTTATTGGCTCATGATCTTCAAAGGAAACATATTCTCAATCATCTTAAATGGAAAGCCCCATTATTTCACACTCTGTCCCCTAGTTCTAGATTCCCCCCATAAAGGGGAAATATCCTTTCAATATGCACCCTGTCAAGCCCGCTCAGGGTCTTAAATGATTCAATAAGATCACATCTTATTCTTTAAAACTCCACTGGAGACAGTCCCAGCCCGTACACTTCCTCATCAAATAACGTTCCCTCCTCAATCCCCTCCTGTACACACTGCTCCATACATGGCCTCACCAATACTCTGTACAACTGTTGCAAAACATCACTACTTTTACAACCCATTGCCCTTGCAATAAATTATAACATTTCCTTTGCCTTCCTAATCGCTTAATGTACCTAGATATGTTCTTTTTTGAGATTCATATACCAGGACACCCAGATCCCTCTGCACCTCAGTTCTATAATCTCTTGCCATTTTGATAATATGCTGCTTATTTCTGCACAGTGGAGTTCAAAAAACAAGATCAATGTTTGCTATGTTAAGCACTATCGATGTGAAAACTGTGACCTCCTCACAAGGTTCTCAACTCCCTGTGGGACCATAGGTTGATGATACCATTCAACTCACAGGACTTGTATATTAGCAAGTACTTCCTGGTGATGGCTAACAACAACAGACACAGGTGTGGAAATAGATACATTTACTTCACCAGATGATGCCATCCCAAAGCTAGACAAGAATTTTACTTTGGTTGGAGCTTGCAAACTATCTGGGGTTCCTTCATCAGGAAAACACAGCCTGTTGACCAATTAGTGGAAAGTCCCCAGGTACATACCTTTCCGCACACCATTTCCTGGGCTAGCCTACAGGGCCAATCATCAACAACACTTAGAACACAGAACAGTACAGGCCCTTCAGCCTGTCGTGCCAACCTATTATCCTACTCAGATCAAACTATCCTGCATACCCTACATTTTACTATCCTCCATGTGCCTATCCAAGAGTTGCTTAAAAGTCTCTAAAGTATCTGAGGAAGGGTCACCGGACCCAAAACGTTCGTTAACTGTTTTCTCCTCCACAGATGCTGCCAGACCTGCTGAGCTTTTCCAGCAACTTTGTTTTTTATTCTGAAGTATCTGACTCCACTACCACTGCCGGCAGCACATTCCACACGCCCACCACTCTGTGTAACGAACTTACCTCTGACATCTCCCCTATACCTCCCTCCAATCACCTTTTAAATTATGCTCCCTCGTAATAGTCATTTCTGCCCTGGGAAAAAGTCTCTGGCTATCCACTCTATCTATGCCTCTCATCATCTTGTACACCTCTATCAAGTCACGTCTTGTCCTTCTTCGTTCCAATGAAAAAAGCCCTAGCTCCCTCAACCTTTCCTCATAAGACCTGCCCTCCAGTCCAGGCAGCATCCTGGTAAATCTCCTGTGCACCCTTTCTAAAGCTTCCACATCTTTCCTATGATGAGGCGACCAGAACTGAACACACTATTCCAAGTGCACAATATTCCAACACTTGCACAATAGAACAGGGAAGGATGGGATGACAGTAAATATAGGACAGAAAATTAAATTCAGAGTGACACCATTAAAGTCTGGGGATGAAATACTTGCAATGAACTTGTTGGAAAGCAAATGGTCCCCTAATCACGTCCAAGCATTATTTGTTATGACCAACTCAACAAGACTGTCTGTGTGGAGTTTGCGCGTTCTCCCCATGCCTGCACAGCTTTCCTTCAGGTGCTCCGGTTTCCTCCCACAGTCCAAAAGTGTGCAGGTTATTAGGATTGGCCATGGGAAACTGCCCATAGAGACCAGGGATAGCATCATAGAGACGTACAACACAAACAGATCCTTCAGTCCATACCAACCAGATATTCTAAATTAATCTAGTCCCACTGATGTGCATGTTAGGTGGGTTAGGCATGATAAACGTTAGGATAACGTGATAGGGTGGGGGCCTGGACTTGGGGGAATGCCATTCAGAGGGTCGGTGCAGACTCTATGGGCCAAATGGCCTCTTTCTGCACTGTAGGGATTCTGTAATTCAAAGATCAATGATCAGTGCTAAGTGCAATTTGCAAATCATCATGAGATGCATCAGAATCCCCTGTTCACATATCACATCTGATCCAGACAGACATCGCAGGGAGATGAACATGAATTAGCTGGGACCACACCAGAGGTCAGATGATATCCCACTCATTAGAGATTGTGTGCACCATACTTAGATAATTTTGCTTCTCATTGAATTGTTTTCTATTGGTGAACATGCCTTTCAACTCATTGGATATGACTGACTACATTGTTAAAGCAATACAATATTTACATATGTAAGTGTTACTGGTGAAGGTGAAAGTTCAAGTTACACAAGTTTATCATTTACACCTTTGGAAACAATCACACCATGACTCCCATTTACCATGGAGAGGAAGGATATAGTGTATTGAAAGAATTGCACTGGGCATTTTGCCCACTTAAGGCAACCGTCAATCTCCTGTACCGCAGAGAGAGAGCCTCTATAGAGAATTCAGGAATCATTGGTGCATGGAGTTCCAATTCTGAGAACCTCTTGTTGTTTCTTCCTATGAATGTCATACAGACGGAAATCAATAAATGGCAAAATGGCTCTCAAAGGCTGGAGTAAAACACAACAAAGGTCGTCCACAGTTTTGTTGCCTCAGAGTTGGATGGTGCTCACATAAGGATGACATTCCTCCAGGAATAGTCTGGTCTCACCTGAATTGGAGCTGAGCCCCCTAGTGCACTGCTACCAGCAAAACCCAGGGACAAAAACCGCAGGGTGCCATTTTTAAGAAAAATATTTTCACCATCATTTTTGAAGTTGTCCTTTAAGCAAAATGTGAGACAACAACAAAGACGAGCGAGTTGCAGGTCAAGGTCATATCATGGGATCTCCAGGAGTACGTGAAGAACCACAGTTGACAATCCCAAGCTCAGCAAGAAACTTGCTGTTGATTGATCTTAAGGGGGAGGTGGTAATGAGCTGGTAACATCACTAGCCAGAAATCTGGAACCTCAGGATAATGGTCTGGGAACATGACTTTGAATCACATCATGGTAGATGGCAAAATTTAAACTCAAAAAAAAAACCTGGAGCAACCACTTACCTCCCATTGATTGCTGTACCTGTACACTCATGGAGGGAAGTCTCTCATCTTTACCTGGTCTGTGGGACTCCAGAGATATGAGGCTGACCATTAACAGTATCTGGGCAATAAAAGTTTGCCTACCTAGAATTTCACACATCACACGAATAATAAAATGACCCATTGTGAACTGAAAGATATGAACTGAAAGAAACACTGTGTGCACCTCTGAACATTTTGCCAGCAAGTAGAACAGGTTGTTTTTCTTTTCCATATACACACCCACACACACACACATACATATATATACAATATATATTTAGATGTAATTTTACAGACCCACAAAAAAATGTAAACTGAACATTACAACCAGCCAACTTGAAATGGATGGGAAAACAAGGAAAGGAACCAAATTCCACAAATCTCGCCACAGGAAGCAAGGATCTATTCAACTGGCAAACAGCAGGCATTACAGAGGTCCCTGCAATTGTAGTCCACTTCATTCCCAAGGACCTGCCATACTTTGTGCTTGACTCAATCCGGAACAGATGCAGAGAGGCTGGTTGCCAGAGAATATACTTGAGGGGCGGAGGGGGGGGCTTTTTTTGTTTTACCCTCTTCTTTCACGTGCACAGCACTATTGAGGCCCTGCCCCCATACCCTTAAGCAGCCCCTCCTTCGTGCCTCCTCCCTCCCCCACCTAGCCCCCCTGCCCCACCCCCCAAAACACAGTTCAGTATTGCCACGACGACAGCTTAGTTCAGAGTGGTACCCCAGTCCACGTTCTCCATGTCTCAAACAAAGGGGGACATCAGGGGGTGGGGAGTAGAGGGAGGCAGAGTTGGGTCGGTGGGACAGGATGTTGGGCAGCGTGGGGTTGGGTCAGGGGGAAGGGGTGACGGTGAGCAATGGGGCTGTTCCCGAAACCAGACGTCTCAAAGTCAAGGGGGTGTGTGTCTGGGTGGAGGAAGAAGTTGGGGGATGGTGGTGATGAGGAGTCACGGCCCACCGGTGCCTCTCAGTCGATCCGCGTCTTCGTCCTGCTACGGCCCAGGGGGCTGACATCATCTGCAAAGCCTTCAAACCCGCTCTCAGAGCACAGCGAGCCGTTGTCAGAGTTGGACACACCGTTGTTGATCTCTGCAACACAAGGAGAGACAGGAGGTTAGTGTCAGCCCATCACTCAGCTTACTTAGGCAATCAGGACGGTCAACAAATACTGGCCCCTCATGTCCCATAAAATGATCAGAAGTTCCTTCTAACCTCAACATATGTGCCAAGGTTTCTCTCCAATTCATTGATACTCATCCATCATAAAGAGGACAGAGTTCCATTTGCTCACCAGTCAATCGGGCACCATGGTACCATTGTGTCTGTACTTCTCACCAGGGAACTCCAGGTTCAAATCTTATCTGCTTCAAATGTGCATGATAATACTCTGAACAAGCTGTTTGAAAATATCTATACTCAGCAATCATTGGGTAAAGACTAATCCTAGCTTAAATCCCTTTTATAGTTTTATAGGCCTGTTAGGATCTGGAAGGCACTGCCTGGAGCAAGGTTCAGTTGAGGCATTCAATCAGCTTTGAATGATTATTTGGATAGAAATGGTGTGCAGGGATATGGGGAAAAAGGCAGGAGATTGGCATAGGGGATTGATGTTCATTTGAAGACCTGGTGCAGGCATGATGGGCGAAATGGCCTCCTCCTGTACCGTAACAATTCTATAACCTCGATCAGGTCTCCGAACGTGCTCTTTGTCAGAGAAAAGAGGTTCAACTTGTTCAATTTTTCCTCTCAAGACATTTTCCTCCATCTCTTCCTCACATTCTCCAATACTTCTGTTTGTTCTGGAGATCACAATTGCATACAGCACTATCACTAGAACCTCATCAAAAACTTAGCAAGAATGTAATACTATCTCCCTAATTGTGTGTCAGTTTTGTTCGAAATAAAAATTCATCCATTACCATAACCTTATCAACCTGTGTTAGTCATTGTTCGTGGTTTAAGTATCCACTCTCCGATTTCAGTTCCTTTGTCTAATATAGATTCAAATCTTCCGAGAAATAACTTAAGACATCAATCTTCCTCATAAAATAAAGAGTGGCAAGAGGTGCTAAATGGAGTTCTATTTGCTGTGTACCCACCCACCCTATAACCTGTTCCTCTTTCAGCTCTTAATATGAGTCAACACCATACTGGTTAATTATACCTGCATAACAACCATCAGTTTGGATTTGGTGGGTTGCCTCAGAGACAGATACTTTTCTCTCATGCTCACTTTACCTTTGATTCAAGGCTAGGTTACCCATTGAGGTTATCCTGTATATTGGGCCAACCTTCTACCCCTTTAGCTCCTCCCACCCTTTTGGTACCATCAGCAAATTGCAATATCATGCTTCCAACTGAAATTCACTTCTCGTCAGTTGGAAGATCTCTCAGTTTTTGACTTTACAAAATTTGTTTATTGGATGTGGGAATCACTGCCTGGGCAAGTATTTATTGCCCGTCCCTAGTTGCCCTTAAGAAAAAGTGGTGGTGAGCTGCCTTCTTGAACTACTGTAGTCCATGTGCTGTAGGTAGACCCATATTAAGGGGAACTTGCAGGGGGTGGTATTCCCGTGTATCTGCTGCCCTTGTCCTTCTAGATGGAAGTGGTTGTGGGTTTGGAAGGTGCTGTCAAAGAAGCTTTGCTGGATTTCTGAAGTGCATCTTGTAGATAGAAGCAGCAGTGTGTACTAAGTGTCGGTGGTGGAGGGATGTGGTGCCAGTCAAGTGGGCTGCTTTGTCCTGGGGATGGGGTCAAGTTTCTTGAATGCTGTTGCCTCATCCAGGCAAGTGGGGGCTATTCCTTCACACTCCTGACTGTGCCTTGTCGATGATGGACAAGAACTGGGGAGACACGAGGTGAATTACTCGCTGCAGTATTCCTAGCCTCTGACCTTCCCTTGTAGCCACTGTGTTTATGTGGTAAGTCCAGTTCAGTTCCTGGTCAATGGTAACCCCATTGACGTTAGTAGTGGCAGATGCAGTAATGGTCGCCTGATTGAATATCACAGGACGATGGTGAGAAACCCTCTTATTGGAGAGGGTCATTGTCTGGCATTTGCATGGCACAAATATTATTTCTATTTAATGTAGAGCCTTCTCCACCATTCAATCAGATTATGGCTGATCTGGTGGAGGAGACAGGGGGCCAGCTGGGAGCACTTTTGCCTCTGAACGTTCAAGCCCTGACACTGGAATGCAGTACTGATGGAGTGCTGTCCTCGCAGAATGAGTGGCTATCATCCTGATGAAACCTAACATTCTGCCCGCTCCTGTGTTTGCTATAGATTTTATAGAATTCATGCCAAGAATCAGATGAGTCCTCCCCCAGCATCCAGGTACTGAAGCAGAGTGATATTTTACTCAAAACATTCTCTCTCCACAGATGCTGCCAGACCTACTGAGTTTCTCCAGCTTTCTGCATTTTTATTTCTGCCCAATACTTATCCCTTAACAAACATTACTAACAGAACAGATAATCACATTCTGCACAGCAAACTCCAACAAAAAGCAATGTGGTGGCTCAAATTCCGACATTATTACAGCGAATAAGTTTCAAAAGTACTACATTTGCTGTAAAAATTTTGGTATTTACGGGGTGCTACATAAATACAACTTCTTGCAGCCAAGTGAACCAACCAGCTGACTATAGCCAACTGAGCTAACCAACCCTTCTGAGGTATGTAGAAGCCACTGGACAATCCAGGAACTCTCCCTAGACTTGCGTGGCCTAATGGTTCTCTATCGATGAGTATTCCAGTGACTAACCTCTCGCGTTCATGAATCATTCTTTGCTTTCTTGATTCCACACCTGTATAAGGATGGCTAGTGAATGTCCCAATCCCAACAAAAACAACTTGTATTTAGATACAGGGTCTAGGCCTGAAACGTCAGCTTTCCTGCTCCTCTGATGCTGCTTGGCCTGCTGTGTTCATCCAGCTCCACACCATGTTATCTCTGCATTTAGATATCTCTACTATCATAGTAATGTGAGCAATGCAAGGGGTTTTTCAGAATGGTGGTCAAAGAGGTAAAGGTTAAGCATCAAAGAAGGTGTGTGTGGTAGAGAGGTTCCACGAAGAATACTAGAGCTTGGGACAAAAAGCAAGAGACCCGCAGATGCTGCAAATCTGAAATAAAAATGGAAAACGTGCCAAATGTAGTTTTGCAACCGTGCCAACCACAGAGATAGAAACAGAGCTAATGGCCAGTGTTTAACACAGGTGGAGAGGGACCTGACCCTTCACTGACCAGTCAGTAAGAGGAGACTTGGTGGGGTGCAATGGCCTAGTGGTATTGTCATTAGACTATTAATCCAAAGACCCCAGTAATGTCCCCAGTAATGGTTTGAATCCCCCCATGGCAGACAGTGGAATTTGAATTCAATGAAAAAAGAAAATCTTGAATTAAGAGTCTAATGATGACCATGTAGATTGTCAAGGAAAGACCCATCTGGTTCACTAATGTCCTTTAGGGAGGGAAACTGCCATCCTTACCTGGTCTGGCCTACATGTGACTCCAGACCCACAGCAATGTGGTTGGCTCTTAAACTATCCTCTGGGCAATAAACGCTGGCCTGGCCAGTGATGTCCCCATCCCATTAATGAGGTTTTTAAAAATCCACCTCAGTTTAGGAAGATGCTCAGTGTTATGGGTCTCTCAGGCCCTTGCAGCCAATATCCAGGAGCCCTGGAAGAAGGGGTTTGCCAACCATAGGCCAGAGGCTCAAACTGAATGGCAGCACCACTTGATGACCTGACCCTGGGCAGAGGACCATTCCTGGATTGCCAGGCCACAGGTGAGTGATGGTTGCTGGGTGGTAGTGGGGGAAGGAGTTGGGGGCGCTACAGTAATGGAGGATGCACTCCCTTCTCAAAACAGATGCCCTGACCCCTGCTGGCCATGCCTTCTGCTGCAAGCCCCGGCTCCTCCTCCTTTACGACCCGGCTTAATGCCCACTTCTTTGACCAAGCATTTGGTTACTTTTAATCTAATGCCTCCTTCTATGGCTCAGGATCAAATTTTGTCTGATGGTGGCGTGGGACATTTTGCAATCATAAAGGTGCTATCTAAATGCAAGTTGCTTTTCTTCCTTTCTGCAAAGCATGGAACTTAACCTTGCAATGAATATGATTGCTGTGTTATACTGGGTGATACATTACACAAGGTGGAGTATTGACAGGATATTGGGACAACTCACCTTCAAGCCAAGCCATCTGATCTCTGCCGCCCACCTCACCAACATTCAGGTCTCCTGTTTCTCACCCTATCGCAATATTCCTAGATTTTCTCAATACCTCCAAAAGATATGTCAACCTCTTCCTCGAATATATTCAGTGAGCATCCAGAGCTCTCTGAAGGATAGAATTCCAAAGTTTTGAAGTGAAGGCATTTCCCCAAACTCCACTCATAAATCACTGATGTTTTACATGGAACAGTACAGCACAGTACAGGCCCTTCAGCCTACGATGTTGTGCCAACCTATTATCCTACTAAGATCCATCTCTCCTGCATACCCTACATTTTAGTATCCTCCATGTGCCTATCCAAGCGTTGCTTGAAAGTCTCTAAAGTATCTGACTCCACTACCGCTGCCAGCAGCGCATTCCACATGCCCACCACTGTGTGAAGAACCTACCTCTGACATCTCCCAATCACCTTAAAATTATGCCCCCTCGTAATAGTCATTTCCGCCCTGGGAAAAAGTCTCTGACTATCCACTCTATCTATCTATGCCGCTCATCATCTTGTAAACTTGAGACTATGACTCTTGTTTTCTCCTGAGATTATGACTCTTTGATCTATATCCTCCAGCTGAGGCAAGCAGCCTTGAAGGGCACGTGGTCTTTGGACTCCATTCCAATCCCATAACAAAAACAACCTGAAAATTCTAATTTTGGATCCAAAGGACCTATGTATGGTCTTAACGGTGGCAGCCCTTACCCACAATCCTTAGCATACGTGAAACCACTCTATTTTGAAATGGACCTCATTCAAAGGGCAAGATTTCTAATGACTACGGAACAATTCCCTCAATATTAAACAATCAGCCTACACAACAAGCCTAGCTCTGGTATAAGACTGAAACCCATTACGCTAGAAAGCCAATAAGTACAAACCATCAGCGCCAGGCTCACTGCAATTTTGGATGAATTTTTCTTTAAGTCATTCATGCAATGTGAGTGTCACTGACTTGGGCAGCATTTATTGTCAATCCTAAGTGTCCTTGAAAAGGTGGTAGTGAGCCACCATTCTGAACAGCTGTAGGGACACCCAAATTATCCTCATCTTGTGTCCTATCCTTTCCTACGTGGAGGTTGCATAATCCTATGGAGCAAGGCCTTTCACCAATAATTCTGTAGAAGAAACACAAAGGTTATGGCACAGAAAGAGGCCATTCCGTCCATTGAGAGTGTGTGTGTTGCGCTGAATAAACTAGCCACCCTTTGTGATCCCACTTCCCAGCACCTGCTCTGTAGTCTTGCAGGTTCCAGCTCTTCAGGGACAGATCTGGGCTCCTTTTTGAACGAGTTGGTGGTTTCCACCCCAACCCCCAAACTCGGCAACAAATTCTAGACACCCACCGCCCTCTGGGTGAAAAGGCCATTCCTCATGTCGCCTCTAATCCTTCTATCAATCACCTTCATTCTCTGCCCTCTGGTAACTGACCTCTCCTTTAGGGGAAAACCCCATCCACTCTATCCCTCATTATTTTGTACACCTCAATTAAAGTCAGCCCTCAGCTTCCTTTGGTCTAAGGAAAATAATGCAAGCCTGTCCAATCTCTCCTCATAGCTGCAGTTTTCAAGCCTCGGTAACATTCCGGTATATCCCGTGTGCTCTATCTCGAGCAATTGTATATTTCCTATCATGTGGTGACCACAAAACTGTACATAAAACTTCAGCTACCCTTTCGGGAATGATATCTGCTGATCTGGGCTTACATGTGACTCCACACCCACAGCAATGTGGTTGTCTCTTAACCACCCTCTGAAATGTCCCAAGTGAGTTTGAGGGAGAAATGAGGGACAAGCAACAAATGCTGACCTTTCAGAGTGACACCCAAACCCCATGAAAGAACAAAGAAAGCTCTCGCACTCACACGCGGGCGCTCTGTAAGCTGTCTCACGGCTAAGGAAATAGTCATTCTCACCTTGATCACTTAAAGATGCAAGCAGGGTTGCATCGTACCTGCAAAAATGAGTTTCTCTTTCATTATGTTTACATCCTTGCTCGATCTGCGGACTGCTGCACTCAGCATAATCTGTTCCGGGTTATAGGTCCTCATGCTACCCAGTCGCCATCTGCAATGTGGAAGAACAGTTTTTATTAAAAAGCAATACACTCTCCCATGCCAGTGCTTATTTTGGTAATGTTGAGGAAACCTGACTAACAATCTCAATTGCAGAGTTTGGCCGCCAGCTCCCCCCCGACCCCTCCCCGAGGGGAATGGGCAAGGGAAGGAGGTGGTTCAGTCTAACTTTAACCCCTCTCTGAGTCTCCACAGAACAACCGATCTTGGGTTTGCTCGATTGTGGTGTTGTGTCCAGAAAGGCCGACCAAAATCAGGAGCTCAAAAGGTTCTGAGGAAGGGTCATGCAATCCGAAATGTTATGTCTGATTTCTCTCCGCAGATGCTGCCAGACCTGCTGAGCTTTTCCAGCTACTTCTGCTTTTGTTGCCAAAAATCAGGAGTTCACCACAAAGTTACAGCAGGGAATCTGGTCTCATCCATTGATGAGAGGGGAACCCAGCCTACCATCAAACTAGGAAGCTAAAGCTCCTCCTAGGCCTCACCTAGGTTTGCAATAATGTAAGAAAAACTCACTGAAATCACTTCAGCGACTGGCATCCCATCACCAATTTATTTACAAATGCATAGCCTTTGACAACAGCGCTGACTCGCACTGAGTCAGGCTTTCCAGGGGTTCAATAGCCCTGATGTTTGCCCTTTTACGTCAGCCAAGGCTCCCTGATTGGGCCAGATTAACAGCCCCAATCAGGGAACTCATTCTACGAGGTCCAGCTTGCTGAGCTCATGACAATGACTACACTCTCAAAGTGAAAAATACCTTAGGACAGAAAAACATGCACATTTCACTCTAAGAATTAAATTACCATCTTCATCATATTTATATAGCACATTTAATATAGCGAAATGTGAACATTGCTGAAATAAAGGCATGTTTTTCTCAAAGCTTTTCACCTTCCACTCATCAGGATATTCATAAGAATGCCAATGCAGAGGGGAATGCACTTGAAACTATGTACATTAATATATAGGTTCCTTTGTTCTTTACAGATGGAAAGGATATTCATTCCCACTGCATCTGTTTCAACTCAACAAGACGGGCACAAACATTCTCCAGTGTATTCATTAGGGCAACTGACCAATTGAAGTCAACACGTCTGGTTTAAATTTAAACAAACTTGGCAGACACCATAAGACATAGGAGCAGAATTTGGTTATTGGCCCATCGAGTCTGCTCTACTGTTTAATCATGGCTGATAGGCTTCTTAACCCCATTCTCCTGCCTTTCCCCCGTAGCCCTTGATCCACCTACCAATCAAGAACCAATAGCATTCCAGAATCAGAGATTTCACATTTGAGACAGAGATGAGGAAGAATTTTTTCTGTTAGAGGGCAGCGAATCGGTGGAATTTCTTTTTAAACTCAGAAGGCTCTTGAGGCTGGGTTATTAAGTCCATTCAAGGCTGAGACAGACAGATTTTTTTCTTCAGTAAGGGAATCAAGGGAAAAGGCAGAAGAGTGGAGTTGACGGTTATCAGATCAACTATGATCTCGCTAAATGATGGAGCAGAAATGATGAGTCAGATGGCCTACTTTTGTCTAATGGCAGTTAACCACCTTCTCAGGGGTAACTAGTGATGGGCATAAATGCTGGCCCAGCCAGCAATGCCCACATCCCATAAATGAATTTTAAAAAAAAGTCAATCATCACCTTAATGCTGCATTCTCTACAAATTCCCAACCAAACAGCGCACACTTCTCAGACAGTATAAACGCTGTTAATTGGTATTCTTGCAAAGCGTCCTGATAAGTGGAAGATGAACAGCTCCCATGGCACATACCATTTCTTTTCAGTAGTACTCAAGTTACATAGTACCAAATGACTATTTGTAATGAAATCTCCCAAGACACTTGACAGCGGCACTACAAAACCAAGTAATGCACAGAGTCGCACATGGAGATATTTGACCAAGACCACTGATAGATTTTCCAAAACTGCAAATTTTAAGAAGCATCTCAGAGGAGAGATATGAAGAAGGAATTACAGATCCAAGGGAGCTGAGGGCCCAGCCACCTGGGAGGGGATTAATATCAGGGATGCACAAGACGCTGGAGATAGAGAAACACAAGGAAATGCAGAAGCATTAAAGGGCTTCTGGGCAATAGCAACGTGCCCACACTCAAAAAAACTCCACTTCACTTTGTTCATTAATCAGGATTGTAAAACTGGTTCAGGACAATCAAAATTATACCTTGCACTTCCTTCAGTTTCCAGAAACTGGGCATGTAACATTTAACCAGTATTCCGTTTCTTCTCAGTCACCGTTACTGGGAATGTTTTCCACAATTTAATTTCCCTACTGGTGTCAACTTATTTAAAATTAGAGGGACAGATCACAGAGACTAAGGTCTGGATTGAACCTTGAAAAGTGGTGAGAAGATGCATCCAAAAATTTTTTTTTAAATTTTAAAAATTTGGAACAATGAATCTGGAGTTAAGAGTCGAATGACAAGCTTTAGACCATTGACAGGGACAAACCCATCTGGTTCACATATGTCCTTTAGGGAAGGAAGCTGCTCACTCGAGCAGTCAGGGTCTGGAATGTGCTGTCCGAGAGTGTGGGGTGGGGGGGGAAGCGGAGGCAGGTTCACTCGAGGGGTTAGGGTCTGGAATGTACTGTCTGAGAGTGTGGGGGAAGGCAGGGTCACTCAAGGGGTTAGGGTCTGGAATGTACTGTCTGAGAGTGTGGGGGAGGCAGGGTCACTCGAGGGGTTAGGGTCTGGAATGTACTGTCTGAGAGTATGGGGGCAGGCAGGTTCACTCAAGGCTTTCCATAGGGAATTAGACTGTTACTTGAAAAGAACAATGTGCAGGGGTGTGGGCAGAAGGTGGGAGAATGGCACTTGCTTAGCTGAACAGCCAGTGCAGGCATGATGGGCCTAATGGCCACATGCTGTGCTGCCACTGCCCTACAATTGTCTGGCTGTGGGGTGGGGGTGAGGAGTTGGTGTGCTGTAAAGATTTGGGTGGGCGTGCGGGTGGGGCTGGAAGGTCTTGATGATGAAACCTTCTGGAATTCACCCAAATCAACGATGCCAGGAGCCACGGTTGCTGTGCAACCTGTTGCTAGGAGACACAAGTAGTGAGCTTGGCTGCAGATGGTCTCGTATCCCAAGCCTTCTCCAGGGAGAGAGATAATGGTCCAGCGTCTAGGGAACAAGCTACAAATTCAGAGCTCTTCCTGGGAAATCACGTGAGTTTAGATTCATCCTGGACCTTAAACGCTCCTTTCAGGGGAAAAAGACTTGGCCAACTCGCCAGTACCAAACTGATAAAAGGCACGGTTAAGTACAACACACAGAGAGACCTTACACACACTCTGCAAGAGATAGCAAGAACTGCCGATGCTGGAGTCAGAGATAACACAGTGTGGAGCTGGAGGAACACAGCGGACCAGGCAGCATCAGAGGAGCAGGAAAGCTGACATTTCAGGTCAGGACCCTTCTTCAGAAGACTGCAAGACTGGTTTAGTGATAGCTTTCACAGATACAACACCATTGATGTAACAAAAAGATCCCACTGTTCCATTATCATGCACTGAACCAGGTAGATTAGGTCAAGTTACCATACCTAGATCAAAGAATTCAGTTTTAAGGAGTGGATAATTAGAGGTATGGAGAGATATCGGGTTATCAATGGACAGAATAGGTCTGGGAAGGCAAAGGCACAACCGTCAACAGTGAAGTGTTAAAGTCAGAGAAACCCAATAGTCCAGACACAGGAAGTGCAGGCATCTCACAGCCCGGAAGAGAGCGTAGCAAGAACAAGAGTGGAGGCAATGGATGGGTTGAAACATCAACCATGAGACACAGCAGCAGAAGTAGGCCATTCAGCCCATTAAGTCTGCTCTGCAATTCAATGACTTCATGGCCAATCCAGTAAACTTTAGCTGCATTCAAGAGGAAGTTTGATGCATTCTGGAAGGAATGAATGGAATCTGGAGGGCGAGACTGCAAGATGTAATTGGAATAATTGGAACTAAATGTGATCACCAACACAGAACATTCGGCTCTGTGCTGTAAATTGTATATAAAATAAAGTTTTCATTAGGCCCCAGGGGGTGCTGGCTGTAGAATTTGGCAAACTTCAACAGATACCAGGGCTGGGAATTTTGTGATCCAGCTTGTAGATGGAGATGGTGGAGGTGGGAGGCAAGAGTGGTGGGGGTGGGCGGGGGTTTGCGTAGGAAGGTTACCTGGTGCTATCCTATCGAGCATGGCACCTAACCCACAAAAGGAATGATGGCCCATTCGTTCAGAGGACCAGCAGCTCAACAGTGCCACCAGAAGCAGTGATCACTGCTGGAGCTGCAGCATAGGAACAGCATCCATTGACGAGCATCTGCCCTCAAGATATGTGGGGCAAGTAAGATATGCCCCACCAAGGGGTGGGGGTTATTGATGAGGGCAGGCACCAGAAAGCAGGTTCCCCTGCCCTGACCCCCACCAGAGGGTCTTGACTGCCGACCAGGAATTACTCTCCCAACACGGTACCATGGGATTGGAGGGGAGAAGGGAATAGTGGTTCTGAATTGGCCAGCGTTCCCTCCACTTGCAGGGCATTGGGAATGCCACCCGGCACTTTCCCACACCATTTTGCCAGCCTTCTCGCTTTCCAACCCATCCCCAGGTGACCATACAAATTCCCACCGGGAAGTCCAATGGGCCAGGGATTTTTGGATACGTTCTGGTAACGAGTTGTGGTCCATTTCCCTTCAGTGACACAGTGTCAGCTAGCTCATGGTATCCCTGAGCCTTGGTTCACAGCCGACCAGCTTTGTTCACTTGCAGCTTACTCATCCAATGAGAGAAAACAAGGAAATGGCAAATGGAGAGAGGGCTGCCCCAATCTACTCCAAGTACCCCTGGAGTAACTGAAACAGAGAGATTTAATCTTTTTGATACATACACAAGGATATGAAGTGTTACAGAACCAAGATGAAGTTCAGGTACAACTTGGCAGTAATGTAACTGAAGGCTAGAATGAGTTCA